CCGCACAACAGTCCAGCGCTCTATCCATTGAGCTAACCGGGTTAACGGTTACATTTTTTTGGCCACTTTATACGGTTACATTATTTTTAGGACTCGCGATTAAAATTTGTCAATTTCACGGCTAACGGCTAAGTTTTCGCCGTTTTACAGCTAATAGTCAACCCCACTGAGAACCACTAAGATCTAGCGCCTGGGCAGGGCATTCGAACATGATTTTGGCCCAGGGGGGCTGGAACCAATCCTCAAAAGTTAAAATTCCTGAGGGGAGACGATGTTGAGGCCCTCCACCTGTCATCTGTTTGATAATCACCGAGAAAAACCATGCCACAATGTCTTCTTTCACCCACGACTGAGTCTAATGATTTTCCGTGTAGTTACCATAAGGGGTTTTCAACAGGGTGGGGGTGAGTCCTCCTACAGTTGTATCTCTGCTTTTCAATAAAACACTCTTCCAAGGTAAATTCTTCTATATTATCTAAAGGGCAAGTTTTTTAAAAGTGTTATTCTCTTGGCCGGCCGAAAAACATCGCAGGAAGGGAACAATCAAATGTGTTTTTGTGATTGGAAATTTTTCGACCTTGCGTGACAAACGCTTGAGTATGTTGAATTCCTAGTAATATCAGATTGCTTCCCGTCTTCAACGTCTTCAGCGAAGACCATTTGACCTACCATTATAAATGATTGACTTGTCCCCTTTCAAATCCACAATGAAGCTCAAGTTAACCCGGAAACTTTCTTAAGACTTATAGGTGTTCGAATACGCAAAGAAACACAGACACGCCCTCTGCTAACTTACGGAATGTGTTATTGTGAACAGTTTCGCCTTGGGAAATGGATGAGGATTTCAAACGAAAGCAGGGATAAAAACCAATCTACCGAGGTTAGCTACGCAAGGCTAGCTTACTGTATTGATTTCCTGATCGAACGCGGTGCTAACTTCTAAAAATGTGCTTGAAATTCCAGATTTAACCACGGGGTACCTAATTATGTTATAGAGTATTTTAAAGGATTGCTATTTTGAGTATTTTTAGGTTTACCTTTTGTTTTGATGAGTCTCGCCTTTTTGCGTCTACGTTGTTATTTTGGTAGATCTATAGTTTTGATCATTTATTTTTAGTGTGTGCTTGAACTTGGCTCAGTTCTTACCATGCTAGACATTTCAATCGCTTGTTATGGTTGAGGATCATTAGTTTGCTAGGTGGTCATGTTTGGGTTGGTAAAACTGACCTTGAGTTTTACCCACACTGAATATCCTGTTTTGGAAATTCCCACGGTCAGCTAACCCAAACATGTCTGTGATTTTTACATTAAATGCGAGGGCAATCCTTGCTGAAGTTAGAAGAGAAATAGCTGTGGTAGTAGAAGGTAGTAGCAACAATAGAAGAGAAGAGAATAAAAGAAGAAAAGTATAGTCTTGCTACCTTTCGTTAATTCGTCCAAGCGAGTGGTAAAAAAACCCTCAACAATTAGATCATGTCGTGATGTAAATGACGATGTTGTGATTTTCACAAAGTTCAGCCTGGTTTTTCCGTGTAGAAATGAAAAGCCCCAAACTAATTTTTATATCCTCGAAAACAACACTATTTACACTTCTCATCTGTTTAACCTGAACCGAATCTGAGTCATACCGCATGGGGAAAATGATAATTGAAAATTTGCTACGAAATGCGATATTTGGATTTTGAAATATTGGTGATCTTTAAAAGCGTTCCGTGATGTCAAAACTAAATGAAAGGGTCCCGTTTTAGACTTAAGTCATACCTCAATGCCTCCTAAACAAATCTATCAAATTGATACGAGCTTGCTTTCTTTTGCGCTTTTCATGAGCAAAGCTCATTTGCCACTACTCGGGGCACTGATCTCCGCCATTTTACGGCTACCGACGCTCGTTTCAATTCTCGTGAATTTTCTAGGATAAAGAAGCAAGTCTGGGAAAAAAAAAACCTTACCACGTTTCTAGGTTCACTATAAGGCATCTCTGGGCAAAATATGAAGGTTTTCGATTTTTCGATCATGTGCCACATTTTTCGATTTTCACTCGGTCAATTCAAACATTCGCTCTTAAAGCTTAATGTAGATGTATTTGTGGTTTTCGCATAAGAAATGCAAGAAACCGGAATTACGTCAGCGATCCTAGGCTAAGTTATAGTTGACCTTTTATTTCACTTAATAGAGTGTTTCTGAGAAAGCAAGTTACTTGAGGGACTCTATTTTTAGCGATTTTCAAGGAGGCAGGGTATATTACTTAAGTTAAGTGAGGCCAGTAGAAAACATAACTTGTGCCAAGGAGATCATTACCTTCGTGTGATATGAGTATAACACAAAATTAAAATAGTTTGTTTAGTTTTTTAAGTTTCTCTAGTCTAACTTACGATGAATGGATTCTGCCCAAAGCCATGAGGTTACAATTTATTTTATTCTAGAAAAGCACGAACAGGAAATTATAAGTACTAGTATGTTCTAACCTTCCCTACGCAAATAACTTGAACTATGATTGCTACAAATAACAAAAATTCACTTTTTAAACCTTTCTAATGACACAAAAGTCTTCCATCGTCTCTTTGTCGTGTTAACCCAGGCTCGCACAATAAGCCTCTGTAAATATATAAATTTGTTTCCGTTGGGCATGAGGAGTATAAGGATTTGTATGGGAATGATAATCCATGTACTATGGAGGGAGAAACCAAATGAAAACTAAGCTAAACTGTCTTAGGTAGCTCAGAAACCTCACACGATGCAAAAGTACAACACGTAAGTACTTGCTTTTATCCAACACTATAATTCAGATTTTGAGGTTGAGAGTGCCAGAGTGCCAGAGTGCCAGAGTGCCACCTTTCATGCCCATACCAATCCGCTAATACAGTCCAACGATTTTAACCTGTCATCCTTCGGTTGTCAAAGTTTTTGCGAATTTTTTCCCCTTTTTTACTGTAATTTTCACCTCTTATTCCTTTTAATTAGTCCCCACGGCCTTTTTGTATTGTCTTCTACCTTTATTGAACGGTCACGTAAAGCGGGACCACTCAAACAAACTAACAATAATCTTTCAAGTAAAAAAATTTTATCCATATTTTTTCCTAGCAATGTCAGAAGTATTATTGAACGAGCTTTTTGTACATTAAGAGAATTATGGGATGAAATGGCGTTTTTTATAACACCCCTACTCTGTGGACCCTGTATTGAGCAGTCAACTTGCATTAAACGACATTCCCCGTCGGTAACCGCTTAATATAGATTACTCCGTATTGCACTCACTGCGCAACGTAAACTTATTTGCTTATTTAGACAATCTATAAGGGGCCTAATGCGCGAGCTTGGGCTTCCTGCGGTATATTTGGATAAATAAGCGGGAAATTTCCATATTACCACCACTCCTCAGTGTTATTCAACTGGTATCGTAATCTTGGAAGGTTCAAATGATATAAACATGGCTAGATTTTTTCTGTTTCTATGATTTTCTTGAGGGCTGTCTGAAAAGCATCTTCTCCTTCTGCAGATGTCCAGAAAATCGTTATCGAGACACGGTCTTTTCATTATCCTCTAAGGTAGCATCTCCATTGAAAACCGCAGTAAATCAATTACAATACGAACTCACTCTAAGCATCGTTTGTACTAACAAACAGAAGTGGCCCTTAAAGTCGAAGTGGACCTTGAGAAAATTTTTTTCGAGTTAAGTAGTTTCAGATTATTAATACCAGAAACATCGCCTGCAACAAGCTGTTAGGACCTTATAACAACTGAATATTCGATAGAGTTTCGATTTTGAGGCAGAACCTTTTTCCGTGCTAGCTGGTGCTCGACTCATCATTTCAATGACGCGTTGATTTTGAAGACTGAAAGAATAAAGCAATCAGCAGACTGATTAAGGCAAATGACCCTGGAACGATTGAAAACACGTATCGTAGATAGGTGCCACACTCCGGGCAATCTCCAGACGAACTGCAATTACGAAAACAGACGATTATACATTAATTGTTTTCGCAATATAGAAATCTGCTGGTGACCTGTTAGTGACCTTTCATTAATGTATTTTCTCTCTTTTGATAGAGATGTATTCATCAAGTGAGACTAAGTTTTAGAGGAACGTAAATAAATTTGTTTAAGAAGCTTAAAACTTATTCCATGATACTGAACGCTTATCTAGTGGAACTACTCAACACTCTCAGCAACACATGACAGGACGGAAACCGCGCGCACTGTAAGTACCTCCCATTGTCCCTTGTAAATCGGTAGAAAACTTTTCAAAGGATTTTTGAGAGACAACAGGTTTTAATTGCAGGTTATACCTACATGGTAACAAACAGGACACTTTCGATATCAATCAGTGTCCAACAGTGTGCAGAACTCTCGCACCGCATTGCCAGTCTCCTCGAGCAATACTTTTCGATGAAATGGAACCTGGTTTTGTTTCAACAGTGGTATTTTCCTTTTAAGACTGTAGTAGACAATCCTTGATTTTGATACGTTTCTAATTGCTAATGCCTGATGATATTTTAATAGTGTTTTTATGACGATACCTTCCTTCAGGAAAGAGGTTTTGGACGATGGCGAAAACGCTTCCTCCCATCAAATAGGCCGTGTCACCCATAAAAGCAAATACGAAACCAGAAGTGCCCTGAAAGGAGAGGAGTAAAACAACAATGATACATGGTTCATCTTTAGGTGCCGAGTGTATCAAATCTAGCTCCGTCAGACATAACTGGATGATATAACTCTATATATTCTGTAGAGAACGCTTCGATTCAGTATCACAAAAAAAGTAAACAATCAGAACAAACAAATAGAAACAAACAAGAAGAACGCACAGTAAAAACAAGCCTGAACCAGAGTTGATGGTGAAAACGCGAGCTAGCGACCAAGTCGTGGTTGTTTTAGTGTTGAGTATGATTGGTTTTCCGGAAGTTTTCTGGACATATCCACGAGCGAAATAAACCAACCTAAAGAAACCCCGAAATACTTTCTAGTCTAAATTGCACTAAAAGAACTTAATAGGAGGGATTAGTCAACAACAACAAAAAAAGGCTTCTAAACGAGATCAAATATCTTTGTTTGATCCTCTCTTGATCCTTCATTGTAGACGAATATCACCACATAAATTCATAGCTTAAAATCAATAACTCCTTTGTTTGAAAAATAATTATCTGGTAACTCTACTTACTTGGTTGTCTCCAATGAGGTCTGCACCAAAGCTGAGTGCATTAACAAACATGGTAGAGAAACCAATAACTCCTTTGTTTGAAAAATAATTATCTGGTAACTCTACTTACTTGGTTGTCTCCAATGAGGTCTGCCCCAAAGCTGAGTGCATTAACAAACATGGTAGAGAAACCAAGACCCAATATAGCACCTGCCGGGTAAGTTAATACTTTTGTGGACGGAGTAATGAAGTAAAACCACAGTGACGCTCCAATAACGAGTAGAGCAGCAATAATAAACAGGATCTGCAAAGAAAACGTTTTCTTAGATGGTGCTGTGTGTCATCTATTTTTAAACTCTAGTATTTGTCCACCTACTCGTTAAGCCACAAGAGGAATCACTTTTGAATATAGCTTTGCTTCGAGTTTATTCGCTGGCTCCCCTTTCCCACCGAAGCAATTTCTCAGCCATTCATGTGCATTATTTACTTTGGCTACCTATTAACACAGTCACTCACTACCTCTCTATGATCTTCTTTTCCACATAAAACATGATCCCAGTGACCCCGTGATCCTCGTCACTTACTCATTGGCCTTTTGCAGATTTGCAAAATCAGAAATATAGATCGTTAATCTCTCACTACACTTTTGGAAGTTTCCTGATAAGAATTCAGTTATGTTCAAGGCTCTTTTTATAATTACGCTATCGCTGTCTTTAATTAGTCATTTACCATTATATGACTCAGGTCCTTGAAGCCAGTTTTACCCACATAACTTGATTTTGTCAGCACAATTCTGGTGTAAAACCCTTTTAACAGCGATGGATATGAAAAGATGTGCGAATATATACTACTGTATATATTATCTCATCTAATACTACTGTATTAGATGAGACGATATGATGTTTCATAGTGAACAATTGTATGAGCAAAAATGCCAAATTCGAAAGTTGCTTGACATATTCAACATTCAATGTTAAGTTCTACTTAGCTTGCCATACCTTGCCTCCCAGATTTCCGACAAGTTTTCTTGACAATCCCGGGGAAACAATTGCGCTTAGTAACATTACAAGTGGAAGATAGGCCATGGCTTCCTGAAAGAAAAACAACTTCCATGCTTTGCATCTTTCACCTAGACGTAAGTTATTTTACTGATAAACAGAATGGTTTGCAGCTTAGAGCGAAGGATCATTACCAAACCAATAGAAAGTCTTCGCAAATTCGAAAGCTGGCAAAGTTGTGGAAAGCCCAAAATTAACATCAGAGAATAAAAATTCACCCAAATTTCTTAACCTGTGAGTGAACCATTGGAACACCAATCGCCTTTACACACCACATGAAGACTTTTCTCATGTTGAAAGAACCCTTTAATCGACTTTCACCCCTAAATGAAGATGTCATTCATACCTTTCCAAACTTCAGTGTGTCAGTAAGGAATAATGGTAAATAGGCGTACGAAAGATCTTGTGTGACTCTCGAGCAAGCATAAATGACTGCGACCTGTCGAAATTAGCGAAAAAAGAAAAGAAAATTAACATCTCATTTACGATGTCATAAAAGGGAATACGTATAGTAATGAGTAATATTGGATAAGAAGCCCAATAACAACAATGTAGCAAAGGAAGAATTTACCGAGAACCACGGTAATGCCTTTTTTCCCTCGGCTGCTTTACCTTGTATAGATGAGGATTCTTTAACCAGGCTCGTACACACATCTCTTTTCCTGATTGACAACCACTTTCAACATCCTCAATCTTCAGCGGCCCAGATTTAATTTTGCAGTCGTCCGCCTCATCCATATTTTCCATGGTGGTTGAAACTGGATGCTCACATGGCTCTATCAGCTCTGACTCGTTGCAGTCGAAGCCTTCATTCGCAGTACCAAGTGTCACAGTAGACGGCGAAATCTCTTTGCTATCTTTACGATTTTTGAGAGACGTTTCCTGCATTCGTTCTTTATCTAAGGGTGAACAACGTTCAGGGTTACTTGATAAGGGAGAGACCGCTTGACAGTTCTCATCAACAGTCACATCGATTTCCTTTATTTCTTCAGGTACATCTGGTAAATGCTGATCATTTCCACCAGAGGCATCTGTGAGTTTGTCCAAAACGCTAACAAGGAGGCTTATTTTTCGCTCCGGTGGCAGCATGCTAAGCTTCTTAAACGCTTCCTCTTCATTCTCAATGCCTGGCTTTGATTCTCCATACACTTCAACCTCTTGACGCTTCGTTGATGCCTTTTCTGTCAAAGTATGGTTGTTAGAGGGCGATTCTTGCTTACATTTATCTTCATCTTCGTCAGAAAACAATACGTCAACGAAACGCATCGAGAAGGCTCTCTTTCTAATCCTACTTTCACAATTCTCTGTGGCTTGGACTGTAGCTTCCCCCTTTGACTTTAGACTCTCTACGAACCAGTCGCGCATTCTTTCTTTGCTTTGGTGCCGATCTGCAAGAAACAAAAAATAATGTTGGCGTTCCAAGAGACGGTAATCTCAGTAATAAACATAAACGTTCATCCGAGTCCTACCTCGTGCCTCCTGTACAACTTCATACATCATCGATTGTAGAACACCATTTGATGGAATGAAGGAAGTTTTTCTCTGATATAGAGGGAACAAATGCAATTAAAATTCAATTGATATGGCTTCGAAGTATGAATCTATTCTGGGTTTATGTCTAAGCACATAATGGATTAAAACGGTGTGAACAATTAGCTTACCATCAGTTCTGCAACGCTGTTTGAAAACTTCTTAGCCAGGGCTGAATTAACTGTGGGCTCCTTTGTCACAGTTTGAAAGATAAGGAAGAAAACCAAGGCCATTCCGACCAAGATTGAAGTTATGACCTTGAAATACAGGACAAAAAATAGTTAGAATAACTCGACTTAACTTCAGCCAATCTGCGTTCCTTTCATTTCTTAATCTTGACACTAGCTACGTTCAGGTAGTATAAAGAAAGACCCTATAATAGTAGAATTCTTTTGATCAGGAAATTGTTGAGGATCCTTAAGAGTTACCCATTATTGTTCATCAATTTTTTTTTCTTTTGAAAAAAGCAAAATATTGGTGACTAAAATGAAAGATTTTTTATAGTTGCCAAAAATCTTTTTTACCGTGAAATCCATGGAACTTTCACTGGATAGTTGTTTGCTGCGGTCTTGTCCAAATATTACCCATGTCACAAGGTAGATCACCACTCCAATAAAGAATGTGAAGCCAGTTCTTTGAAAGGAAAAAAACAATGAAACTGCTTTATTTCTTTCAATCGACATATAATGTTTCTCGCCTCAATGCGCAATGACTACTGGTCCAAGTGAAATTATTTCAAGTTGCTTTCGGCTAGTGGGACTTAACCCTCAGTAAGGCAAACTATAATTAAGCCCCACTTCGGTCGTTATCTCGAGTCATATCCTTGTTCCTCCCAGAGAAGAGCCTTCCAAGGAATAGGCAGGGGGCCTATTCCACAACAGAAGCTGGTTATCAACCTTCAGGAAACCACAAAATATCGATTTGGTAAGATATGAAATAATACATTGGGTCGAAGAAAACAATCAATGAAAATGCGGGGACTAGAGCCGAAGTAAAGGACAATAGTCTTATTCTCGAATTGCGAGATAAAGAAAACATTTATAACAATAAACAAATGGCGACCAACCTTAAAGCGTTCAATCCAAAAGCTTCCTTTTGATTCTTAGCAATCGAGGGAAGCAGTGATAGGTGGCTGACGTCTACAATAGTGTAAGATAGTGCTATAAAAAAGTTAAGTACAGCAATGTACAGCATTGTCTCCAATTGACCACCTTGACAAAAAAAACAAGGTGTGAAAAAAAGCGGAATGGTGACTGCCCCTAAAATGGATCCAATAAGATGCCAGGATTTCTTTCTACCAAGTTTCATGGACAAAACTGGGATCTTGACTCGGTCAACCAAGAATGCACTCAACGGGGACGTCACTACCAACGAAGAAAACGCGAAGAGCACTAGCCATCCAGCATTAGCTGGAGACAGACCGAGTACTTTCAAAAAGAAGACCAATCGGAACGACAGAAGTATCTGTCTATTAACCTCAATCACTGAGTTTCCCACTCCATAGGAAAACCGTTGAATCATAGGAGTGCGAGTCTCCGAGTTTGAATCTTCCGAATCTTCTGAATCTCCTCTGCACAATTTAAGAAACTTCATATCTGGAGGTGGATTGAGAATGAAGGGTAAAGAAAAGATTTGTGCTTATAACATGAAGAGAACACTAGGCTCTATTTGATTGGCCTTTGGCGATTACGTAGCTGTCTGACTACCTAACACGAGGCTGACGTCATTGGAAAATTGACCTGGCTAGACCTGTGTTCCTGTTCTTTGTTCTCACCATTTCCTATCTCATTTCAGATTTCCGCTTTGAGCTATGACTGAGTCAACGAGCGGCCAAAGGAAAGTAAATATAAACTCATTTCAGCTCGGCATTGAGTATTTGTAATTTTTTTTTTCTTTCTTGGCCGTTTTTCCTTTCCACAATGGTAAACGAAACTAGGATCAATTTGAACAAATGTCTTCATAACCTGGGAAGGTCTCCGGATGGAAGTCCTTCAGTCAAAAGCAGGATGGGCTCCTGTGAAAAGTAATTATTACCTCAAGCCATTTATGTACATTTCCGTCTGAATGGCACATATTCATAAATGACTATTCCTTTGCCTTCTCTCTTTTGTTATATAAATTTAAGTGCACATTTTCATTCCTGAATCCATTTGAATAGTTAAGCAGTTTCTGTCTCGGGCTAAAAGCAGCTGTTAAACTCGGAAGGTATAATTGAAAATTTTGTTAGAATCAGCTCTGAAAATGCACCAACCGGCAGATTGAGAAAGTCTGAACAAAAACGGGAGCGAAAGGATATGAAGAAAATTCGAGTGCCTGATCCACACTTGGGAATATTTGGTGGGAGAGGTGAATGGACGAATTTGTTTATTTTACGTAGGTTGCTCGTGCATATGATCAACAAATGAAAATGTGAAATCGATAAGCTGCCACTGAATCTTTCCAACCAAGATTCCTCTCAACTTCTTTACCCACTCTAGATCGTTCCGGCAAAAAGTTGTGTCAACTTTGTGGTTTTGTCGCCCTATTGATTATTTAACTAATAGCAATTTGCATCAACTCAACCCAAGATAGTACGTGACTTTGAACGTTAGATGGCTTTTCCGACAATAGATAGACGTTTATGGTCGCCTCAAGGCAACTGACAAAATCCTACCTTGCAGTATTTAAATTCTTACTTCTTAATGAATTTATGTGGATTTGTTGCTCCCTGGTAATTTCATCAAATATAGGATTGGGTTTACAAAAGTTTTAAATGATATTTGGAGCGTCTTTCATGTGTATGGGATCTAGATCTGGTCGCGTATAACTACCCCACAAGTCCGTGAATTTCAAGATTTAGCTTAAGTTTACAAACCCCATGTTAAAGAGACTTTTAACTAGCATACTGTAGGGTTAAAAAAGTTACTGCTCGAGCGTGACACCAGATAACTTACGGTTTGTAACGAGGTCGGCGGGTTCCCGTTTATTTTTTCTATGCCATTTACACTTGTTATCAAAAGGATGTTTGCTTTCTATAGATACATGTGAAATTAATGACCAAATTGAAAAGGATTTCATCCTTCAAATCACAAATGTCCATTTAAATGCCGCTCCATGCACTGAAATAAGCCTAGAATACTCCGGAAAAAATTGTGCGACCAATTACATTTCCATTCAGCGGATACCTTTTTTTTATGAGTCACTTGACTGTATGGCTGAAAACCTGCTTTTTAATCTAGGGTTTCTAACCTCTTTACGTACTTTTTGATGTTCTAATAATCGACTCACCGGCTGTAAGGGCGTCAGTTTAGGTTCTCTGTCAGCGAAAAAGTGTATCAGTGCTCGAAACACGTACAAACACCTCCCGACTCAGTGAATTTCGAGAGCTAGCATAATATTAATACCATTAAAAAGGCTTCTTCATCGGATGAAGAAGCTTTCAAGGGTGCATATTCCCGGCGTAAATAAATTAAAGAATTAGTTTAAGTTCGACAGGGGAAGAAACTGACAAGAATGTTGGTGTTTTTTTCTTGAAGTACTCTTGTTAATTGGCTTTTGCAAATAGTAAGGTTGAAATGTGATAATATCTCAGCGATTTACCTTTCAGCTTGTCATGCTAGTGCGGAGGTTAATCATATCTTAAAGGGCTTGTAACCCAAAAAGACATGTTTTTCTTATACTCAGTTGTAAGTGGCTAAGAATACGAATTTGCAATTCGTTTTGCCCAATTCGACTTCTTTTAGGGAGAAAATCGGCATTTTTAACCGAAATCCTACTTCTGATGAAAACAATAGCAAGAAGTCGTAAAGTAATCGGTGGAACTCAAATATTGCGCAACACGGTCTCCACAGTAGATAGGGCAGCTCGTGTAAGTAGCAATAGTTCGCACGATGTTTCTTCAGAAGAGAGTGACTCGAATGCCTTAAACTTATATGACAGCGATGGGGATAGTTTAGAACCTTTAGGAGCGTCTGGGCCACGTCTTTATCGATACAAGCCGCGTAGGGTTCACCAAACGATCCGCACGAAGGAAGCACAAAACCGACAGCGATACCGAACTTCTCGGAAACACAGACTGGTATTTAATTCATTGTGTCATTTATTTTCATTTGTCATGAAAACCTACAATAAAGGAAGTTTAAAATCTAAACAATTGCAAGAGAATTCTTTAATGTGAGCTCCCGTGGTTGTTTGATATAAAATTATTTAAGGTGGGGGTATGAAACTTGTCAGTCAATGCCGAAAATACATGAAAACGTCTGTTGTACGGAAATCAGGCAAGTGTGGCGAAACGTGAAGAAACAAGGGTCTGACACCAAAAATGAATTACTGAACATTCAGGTTTTCAAGCAACCTGCCTCGATGTCCGGGTGCTGTAGACGGGCTATTGCGCGTATAGGAAGCAGTATGGCACAAATAGTCACACCCGAAACGAGTAAGAACAAAGGACGGTACAGACTCACCATGTCGCTTTTGTGGTCGCGTCGCATTATCGCCTTCAAATAATCCTTTTTGTTTTGCTCTCACAAGCGTGTCCTTATAGATTTTTCCGTTTAAGTTTTCAGAGATAAACGGATGATATATGAAAATTGTTTTTAGCAAGGGCAGACTGTGTATATAGGCGGATTGGGAGTTTGTTGAAACCATTTCTTAGTCATGCCATCAAAGCGTTTACCTCGATGCATTTGATCAATGATCTCATAAGCCCTCCTTTCCTGCGTGTTTTTTACCATCGGTGCTTTGAAAAGTTTGAAGTGAACTCCGTTGTCAAGTTGCACTTTGGCCTCTTAAGTTAGTCTGTCTTCTTCGTGACTGTTGTTGTGTTGCTTTTGTGAGGTTTAAAGCAAAGTTGTTTTTTAACTCCGAGTTAGAGCTGTTACCTCATTGCGTTACAAATTCTTTTATGGCTTAGATAAATAATCTCTGCAGGTTGTGCCATGAAATTTTCCCAATAGCTCTAAAAGGCAAGAAAAGGCTGAAACGGTGGCATCCAGTTTGATATGAGACGGATGTGGTTCTTTGTTTTGTCCATGAAAGGTGTTTTGGAGGCGCATGCACTCACCATGCGAATAAATCTAGCAAGAGTTGGTCTGGTTTTACATTCGTTTGTCACGGGTGTTGGGATGAATTTGAGACCCTTTCATGGCTATCAAAATGTTGACAGTTTGCGAGGTTTTTAGGAATTTCTTATTTGTCTCCCTTTCTTTTCCTTAACGTTTGGAGAGCTCTAGTTCTCCTCGGTCGTTTCTCAGTTCGGTCGGCCACCTCCGCATCCTCGCTATCTGCTGACTGCACGGGTCGCTTTTTTACTTCAGAAGAATTTGTTTTTGGTGGGGCCTGAATCGTCGGTACAACACAGTGACCAGCAACTTTTTTAAGGCACACTTCCACCATGTAGCTTTTCTCAAAAGAAGCGGGTGAAAAATGACTGCTAAAAATAACAGAATGTTTGGACGGTTCGGCGAGTCGGCTCTTTTCAACAAATTTAACCCTTTGTCGCCGCTTCAAATATGGTTCTTTTGGACGGGAAATTTATGCATTGTATGCCCGGTTTTGTTTGAATTACTACAAAACTGGACAACACAACGCTTTACCATTATGAAAAAATTGAATATATTCAACCAAATTGTAAGTGTAAAAATCGTGACGAGACCGGCAAACAAGGGATGCGAAGGAGACTTATAGGTATCTCATGCGCTTTTGACCTCCAGTACCGGAGGGTTCCACCCATGACGTCACAGGAAAGATGGCGTAATTCAAAATGGCGAATGTTTCGAATTTGGAAGAGCTTTAACAAGGTGAAAATGGATTTTTGAGAAAAAACGAATTGTACTTTTGGTGTACTAGATATATTTGCTAAACAGCAATGCGAAAAGAGAATGTACGATTTTTGGGTTTACATGCCCTTTCTTTAATCAAATGCATGAGTCGCCAACACATAATGAGCACTTGATTTAGGATGGTGTAGGAAGATACGGTCTGGCGGCACTCGCCCTTTGTCATCTTTGTCCATCTATTCCCAAGTCCGAAGTTTTGTTCATTTTCCTTCTGTTTAAAATGAACAAATTTCTTGATAATCAATTTTTTAATGGTAATCAATCAATTTGATGAGACATTATGCTTGTAGGCCAACTATGTGCTAAAAACAACAAATGTCTACCCTTAGCCTGGGGCTGACAGCCCAAATGTAAAAACGTAAGAATTAGTAACCTACGTCTATCAACAATTCATTAAATACAAAGCCTGAGGGTAATAGTACCTTGAATAAATTATTTGAGAAGTTAGTTTGAGTGCATATATTCTTTTATTATCTAACTACACTTAGACGAGTACAAATAACGCCCTAGATGAGTACAAATATCACGCGGTATTTTTACTCGTCTATTGTAGAGTACCGGTTAAACAGGTTTTCTCGCATCGCGCAAGCGAAGAATTGGATTGTAGTTACGAAAAAAAAAAAAGTGGCGGACAATTTGAATCATATTTCCGACGACGAAGAGTCAAAATGGCTGGCAAATATAGATCCAAGTTTANAAATGTATACCAAATTGAAAGACTCACCCAGCTTCTTAACAAGTTTCTTGTTCTTGTTTAACTTTTTCAAAGCTTCCGCATCCATACAGGGGATGTCATTTGCCTTCGCCTCATCACAATGTGAAGCATCACCAAGGATACAGACCTTGAGTTTAGGTCGAGGAATATTCTTAAGCTTCACAGTTCCACTGAAACGCTTGTCCTTCTGAGGATCATAATTCTTTAAACTGATTTGGAGCTCAACAGTTTCAGTAAACTTTCTTTTCTTGTCCTTGGCTCCTTGAAGGACAGCACCACAGCACTCGTAAAGTGTATCACGGTGGAGCTTACTGGTAAGAGAGTACAAAAGAATTTTAATTTTCTTTAGTTACGTACTTACGTCAGTTTTCAATGATCTTTTAAACTTTGTAGTGGGCAAGTTTTGTTAAGTTACATTTAGATGCGTTACAAGCAAGTAAAATAATACATAATCAGGATGATCAAGAAACAGTGCGCGATTCGCTGTAACCTTGATGACGACAGTAAATAAACCGGTGTTTCCTTTCTGAGAAACTGAAGATCAATTTCAAGTGGTTAGGAATTTCTTCAAATAACAAAGAGAGGCGAATTAAAGATAGAAGTCTGGAGTACACTGTATAACTCGAATCTCGAAATAATACAACTCCTTCCAACTTGATATCAGGTGACCAAGAGATATTCCAATCACCAAAAGCGTGTTTGGGTCACAGTCAATTTCGTTGTTCAATACTTCAGGGAATTGACAGTACTCGACTATTTTTCATGGCCATACTGATCGATCGCCATGTTGCCTCAAACTCCTCGTTCGACAATCTCCTCACATTTAATCTTGATGAAATGGTTGGAGTCGTATACTTCCCAAATCAAACTTATCAACACCTTTTCAGTTTATTCCCGCATGATTTGGCTTTGGATGGCCAATAACAAGTAAAAAAATTGAAGATTGCACAAGCCTTTACCTCATATTGCTAAACTCGGCGAGCAGACGAAGAGAGAGAGGACGCATTAAGGCGAAAAGCCGCAATTATACTGCGGGCGCGTCTCTATTTCCACCCAGTATTCCACGAGGGGTTTATCACGGTAAAAAAATGTTCATTTCCGGGTTATGGACATCCTGAATGGTGACCTTTTAAAATAGAGATTACCACGTCCAGGTGTCAGGCACAACATGCGAAAGACGAGAAAAAGATTAAACTATCCCAGACAGAAAATTGGTTGACATAAAAATTCCTGTGTAGGTAATTTTTCTTTCTAAGGAAAGGATGAGAAACGTGAATGAGAGAGTTAATCTGTACTTGGATACGGAGGTCAACACTAGAAAAGTAGATCGATTATGAAAACATTGTTGGTACATTTCACAAGCAATAGTGACTTACAACAGGATTAGAAATCACATTTTTTGGCAACTTTTCTGACAAAAAAAGAGTGATCCAAATGACGTCAATGACATTTTGCTCTTGACCGACAAAGTTACATGTTTCCTGATATGTTCAGATTCGTCATTTTCTCACTCAAGGTACCATTTTTCGATTTTTAAGTATTTTATCATAATTTTTGTAAATATTTTAGTGATTGTTAGAAAATTAAAGTTTATGATTTTTCTCACTCAAAGTATCAAAGGTTTGGGCCAGGTCGACATGATGTTCTGTTTGACGTTAATCTTTTATTGCGTTCATTTCAGTCGCGCAGAATAATGATGTAAACGTGAGGGTGGCACCAGAGGCGAGTCACAACTGTATAACTGAGCTCAAAGTTTTCGTGCTCAACATATACACAGGAAACTTTCGTTATGGCTGATTTTAGCCATACACAGGGAATTTCTCACATAACATCCTTTTGTATGGTGTGGTCTAGCTGGATAACCCCTTCACTCACAAAGTCTGGGCCCAGTTGTATGAAGGGCGGGTTAGGGTATCCTACGGATAAATCGCTACCCGGCGGATTAGTGATAGGAAAGCGTATAGCGTTCTGGCACGGATCCAGGATTTAGTCAAGGGGGGTTCGGAGAATTGTTCCCCTTCTGAGGGGTCCAAGATTTTGAAAATTATGTCTTCGGAAACATGATTTCCAGCGTTTTGAGAGAAAATTTAGGGGGTTCGACCGAACCACCCCAGGAACCGCCCCAGGCGTTATCCACTGGATAGAGTTTTATCCATCGGATAGCGTTGTCCAACCTTCAAAAAACCGGGGCCTGATGGTTAATTTTACTCTGAAGCTGCTTCACATTTCCTTGTAAATTGTTTACAGAATTCAGTTATTGGTTAAGATAACAACTTCTACTTGATGAGTTTGAGCTAAAAGATTTCCATCATTTGTTTGCTGGATAATGTACAGATATTATAGGGGAAAGGTACATTTTAAGTAAATCTTTTCTGGGAGTTAAAACTTATTCCCTATAGCTCTGTTAAGTTGGTGGAGAATCCGACCACAAAATAGGAAGGTCTGAGGTTCGTCTGCAGCTTTGAAACGGAGACAGAGTTTGCCTAAAAAAAGATCTTCGCTGGCCGTTGACTGAAGTTAGGGGTCCTGATATAGACCAGAAAGTTGGACAGTAAATTACAATGTTGTGCGTTACTACCGATCTTTACTATGCAATGCGTTTCAGCGTAGGTAAGGATAGTGAAAATCAAACTGTAGTGTTCTCAGGGACTCTCCCAATCTTGTGGGAAAAAGTCCTGCCAATCGACAGTTACATGTTGCGTCCAAACATCACACCTAGTGCATTGGATAACTTTTCATCGTGTTTCTGTTCCTTCTGCTTGAGAATTCTTAATTGATCTTTTACTGCTCTGTTGGACGGGTCATATGTTAGAGCCTGAAGAAGAAAAATAGCTTATTGCGGGTGATATCCTGACTCGTTAACTGAACTCAAATTTACTGACATCAACCTGAGGAATTGCAATGGTTTTCATGCCTCCTTCTCCTTTCTAGATTTTTGCCTGTAAAGAAAGCCCATAAAAAAAAATTGAAATTATCACCATTCCGTATAATTTTATTTTGAGATTTGCTGACATAAAGTGTTTCATTGGGTTAGGGAAAGTAAAATACGTTCTCACGATTACGTGTAGTACACTAGGACCAACATATCACGGTTGAAACCAGGATTCTTGATCCTTACTGACCGCTTTTCGAGATGGAATGGCACTCTTAAAATTAATTAACTTGCCTGCGACCTCCCCCATGTTAATGTAAACGAAAGCTAGTACCTTCTCTAAATCCTCTCTTGCCTTTTCGAATTCATTCAAGATAACAAATGCCTGTGAAGAATTACGACACTATTCATCAAAGTAAATCAAGTACAACTATTCACATTACAACTAAAAATAAATTTGAAACTTAGCTTTGGTATGAAAAACACGTAAATAAGGAATATATCCGCCTCTGGACGATACAGTTTAATCACGTAACACCGCTTATTGCTCTCACGGTCAATTTTTAACAACATCTCAAATACGGTAACCTTTCGTTAACAAGTAAATAAACGATTTTAAGGTGGAAAAAAATATCTTTATATCAAATCGTCTCACCTGTCCTCGTCTGAAGAGAGCTTTAACGTTTGTAGGCCACAGACTTAGTACCTACAGTAGGTATTCAAAGAAACATGAAAACTAAAATAATACCACTACGTGTAGTACACCTAGCTATAATAAAAATAATTAACTGACGTTTCTGAGCGACTGAAGGCAACTGGAACATGTGCTTGATGTCAAACAGTCAAACTAGGAAGCTCTTATTCTAATATTCTAGACCAAACAGTGTTGATCAAAAATCTGTTGCAATCCCTAGGAAGAAACCCCTTACATTCTGTTTCATTCTTTCTGACAAACAAATCAGTGTTTTAAAAGCTCCCAAATGAAGCTATGATATAAAGTTACATTTTAAGGAAGGAGACTTGAAAAAAATCAAAATAAATCAAACACCCCCTGAAGGAGCAAAGGGCTGCGACTTACTGCTTATAATCAATCATAAAAAAAAAAACATTTCAACTACAAGATCAACTGAAAAAATAACCACCAGTAGCCAAGTGTAGAAATGCTCGCTAACTATTTGCCAATTTGTCTTGATAACAATGTTTACCTTGTTTTGACTCTATAAGTTCAACTAAATTTGTGATTGATAGGGAAAGAAAAAAGTCCTAACCATACAATGCTGTAACATGTAATTCAATGGGCTCAATATTAAAATAATTATGACAATGGTTTTCTATGTGGAAAGCCATCAAGCAATGTAACTACATATTCAAAATTATTACACTTATAAAGTGCACAACTGAAATGTAGTCATTTCTAACCTTTGTGCAGTTTAGTGCTACAAAGTCATACTGCCCAAGCTTTCCTTGGCATGCAGATAAGTTGAGAAGACAAGTAGCTCTCAGTTGTTCTTGATCTTCTTTTCGTTCAGACAATTTATCTTCTATTAGGATCAACTGCTTGAGGGCTTGGCTATAACGTCTTGCAGCGCTGGTCCAGTTTCCAGACTTAAAGGATACCAATCAAAAAGGATCATTAGGAAAATGTTTTGAAGGCAGCCACACCAGAGGTTGATACAGAATTTTTCTAAAAAGGGGGTGCACCACTGAAGGACATAATTGGCAGGGGACATACATATGTAAAAACATTTTATAAGCAAACTACGAAGGAGAAGGCTCGTGACTTGGCAATAACATAATGTGAATGGATGACAGACACCATCAGAGCTGTATGTCATGCAACGCCACCACTGTGAACTTCAAACTGCACTGGTTTCCAAACCAAGCAAGCACAGTCTATTGGGCTGAAAAGTTGAAAACAGATATGAATTTAAACCCCTTTATGCCTGGTGAGAATTAATTTTTTCGTGGCTCTTTATAGTTTTAAATTTTGGAATTTGATGACATCACATGAAAATGATTTAGTATTAGAATGTGAGTAGAGAGATTTACCCTTCAACAACTCTTTAGGGCAGTTAGGGAGTGAACTGAGAAAAGCCTGCAAAAAATGAGGTACAGATGTATGTCAATTTTTTTAAAAATGAACTAAGAAATGAAAGGTAACCTTAAAACAATCTGTTCCTTTTTCTTTGTGATGTTTGGCAAGGGACATTTTATCCTCTGGGATAGTTTCCCAAGGCTCTTTTGCCTGCAAGAGAAAAAAAAAATTGAGAAATGTAAAGCGCATGTGTTAAGATTTTCCATAATTATGATACCAATTGTTCTGGATACAAAATTATACTATAGATACCTCTCAAGCTTGTATGTTTTGTTTACCCATATCAGGTAGTGTGATAATACCCTAAACAACTTTCTCTTTCAGATTTCTTCTTACTCTGTCACATGCATTTCTTTAAATTATGCACAAAATATAAAGCTGGGAATAAATCCCTTCAGAGCTGACATGAGTAAACAGAACAGAGTGAAGATGACAGTGATCATTGTAGTAACACTCATTAAGCAGTAGTTGAAATAACTGGGAGCTGGTCATTTTGTCGCTTCATAATAAATCTGTGTAGCAATGAATGAACAACTTTTGATTTATACATACAGTCAAACCTTGATTATCTGAACATCAATTATCCGGACTTTTTGTTTATGCAAACTTTTTCTCTAGCCCCATTTTTTTAATGAATATTAATAAGCTTTGATCTCCAAAACTAAGAGGTAACAAATTCAGAGATAATGTTTAAAGCCAGGAAAAGTGCATTTAAAGCAGTGCACTACCTCCTCCACTTTAAAAACATTGAGCACTTGGAGACAAAAAGCATTCTGATGCACTCAGCTGAGTTTTAATTGGTTCAATATTATTGTTTTGTAAGGGAATGTCATGCTTGATCAGTTCGATAAGTGTGGGTTATGTAAACACAGGTGAATGATCATAACTAAAAATGACATGCCTTTAAAGTGAAAGCGATCTGTTCTCTTGATAAAGGATAAATAAATAGTTATTTCATAAAGGAGAAAAAGGAACAAATTTAGTGCTTGAATTTGGCATCAGCAAGCAACAGATCTCTGATATGCGCAAGAACAGGGATAACATCCTGAAATTCACCGACAACATTGAGACAAGCAAAGGATTGAGGCGAAAGTCGCTAAAGCTTGCATGCACATGAGTATAGGTGCAATTCATAGATGTACGTGTATTGGTAGTCATCGAAGTGGACTTTTAGAATTAAAAATTAATGTGTTATCTTTATTTCTTTGGCTTACAATGTTGTCAATTAATATTCATATTTTCTATTATTCAGACTTTTGATTATCCGAACTATATCTACCCAAGTCCCTACGAGTCCAGATAAGCAAGGTATAACTGTATAATTATCTGTGAAGTGAGGATTACTGAAATGAAGATGAGATGGAAAAATTCAGGCTGGAATGGCTTTGTTGGCTGTGAGCTCAACTGTTTGCTCAGTTGTTGAGGCACTACATCTACTTATTACAGAGGTCATGGGTTTAACTCCAATACAAGCCTGAATTTTTTTCACAAGCTGTATCTCTATAAGATAAAAACCACCTAAGATGATTGCTGTAGATATGAATCAATATGTACAGCACACTGTACCTTGGAGAAGGAAAGAAGCTCAATTTCACATTTAAGATCCCTTTCATAGACAATACCCAGCTCTTGGCACAAATCCTCGTTGTCAAAAGGTATCAAGCAGATTTCCTGAGCATGCATACACTCAAGGCATTTGTCCAAGGTCTCAGATACTTCACTGTCACCTTTAAAGTAAGCAAAAAAACAAAAAAGGAATAGATGATCAATAAATGCATGCTTCGGCATGATCCTTCTCTCTCTTTGTTAGTTACAAGTAAATTACTAAATTTGAGCCATCGCCATTTTATGTATTTAAAAGAATTTACAGAAATAGTGGTATTTTGGGAACAGCTAACATTAATCAATCCAGAAAGATCGATCTTTAGCTTGTAATGCAGTGTTTTGGATGATGATAATAGCGATTCGTGAGTTGCAAATACGCTAGAACATGCAAAGAAATCAAATTTATAAGTTGATTAATTACCTTCACCTATAACGACTTTCTTCTGAGCATTGTGAAGGACTGTACCATCCGGAGGAAAAATCTTCAGTTTGACTGCAATGAAGCATAACTATTCGTTAAAGAAATCGATAGACAATTTAACATTGCAAAAGAAATAAATAAAGCGTAAAATTTGACTCAAACCCTCACTATGACAAGATGATCCATAATTCGGTGTTTCTAATCCAGTTCCTTTTCGAGTTATAGTCCTCGGCAGGGCTGAAACACGAGAATCAATCATTTTCATCCGCCATATTGGAACAGACATAAGCTTTGTTGTGATTGGTGAATGATTTGTTGTGTGGGTGAATGGACCAATTACACAGCTGTTTATATATTAATGCTTCAGTTGACAAAGACGAAAACCGTCGTGGTGTTAGCTAAGGGTCTGTTGTGAGTGCCTTATCGCACGACTTTTTGTCTCTCTTGTTTCATGGCGGAAGCGATCCTCTGTGGTAATGGTCCGGCATGTTGAAATTAGCCATACCTTCAAACATCCATTCGAGAAAGTGATACATGCTTACTTCCAAAAGGTTTGTTTCAAATACGCTTCCGTACATACATGTGCACAGATTTCAGTTATTAAATACAAGAGCACAATTTTAGGGTTTTTTTTTTCTCCTAGCAGAAGAATGTAGATGTAAAAGTAAAGGCAAGATTTCCATGTAACCCCATACATTAATTATGCATCGAGTGTTGCAAAGAAACCTTTACATTTAGTCTTTAAGAAATGGATGCATAATTAATGTATGGGGTTATACGGAAATCTTTCCAAGATCAATTCTAGAATATGGCTAAAAAGGTAAATCGTTGCACAACATGTATGTTGTGTTTGAAGATTGTGATTTCTGTACTTTTGTACACATTTCAATACTTATAAGACCTCAAACGTAACGAATTTCGAACAACTACATGAAAACAAGGAGTTGATAGTGACTGCTTCTTTTTCTGTTTTTTTCACTATTGTGCACACTTGTGCTTACATGTACGCACAACAATAGTACACTTGTGGTAAAGATTCCAATGTGACGTCTATAACAGTGTTGCAACACAAAACAGGTAACAGCTGTAATCTATTTAAACAATAGAGTGTTTCTGTTGAGGAACTATCGGCTGATAGTTGCCCCGTGGAAATTTGATGTTCTTAAAACAAATATTTGCCTGAGAAGGCAAATAATTATGCTAGTTTTAAGAACATCAAATATCCAAAGGGCAACTATCAGACCGATAGTTCCGAGACCTAAACGCTCTATTGTCTTTATTGCTCACCACTAAATTTTCTTTTGCGTGCCAGTTGAAAAACAGTCAAAACCCACTAAATGCAGATCAATCAAATATTTATTCATGCATACAGCCTGTCACAAATGTCAGTAATTCGTAACTGTACATTGGCTAAATAATATGTTATACATGTCAGAATTGACAAGTCACTGTTTTACCGATCTGCCTAACTTCGCAGCAGTCAAACCATTCAAATTTTTTCATGGATGAGTACTATCCATCCGGGTTTTTTCTGCAGATGGGCACTATGGGCTGATAGTGTCTCTCCACGGATGAACACTATTGCATCACATGATCAATTTTAACCAATAAGTATCGGAGAAAATTTAGTGGTGAACTAGAGGTTGCTGTAGTCCACTTTTCTGAAGTCTCCAATAGGGCTGTTTACTTTGAACAATATGTATGCAATTAATTTTTCATATCCTTTGGTATCAGGGCAAACATTGAAATACCTTTTAATAAACGACTGTAGTTCATTTGATTGAGTGTGTGTCATCTTGATAGTGATACTGCCTCAGGAATTTCAAAATAAACTGGTTTATCACAAATGGCCAAAACTGATTTTATTCTATAAAGTTAACAAATTTCTATTGGTACCATCATTGAAGACTTGTTAAATAAATTTTCTACATAGTATCACGGAGCAAAAAGTTACAAACGAGAAAAGGATTTCTTTGAATACATGTACCAGCCATACCCAATCGATATGTTTTCCTGATTAAAGATCTCGATCACATGCAACTGATGGTAGTTCGTCGTCGTTACATTTTACAAAAGCCTTGTACTGTTAATCCTTATACACCTGAGGGTGACCAACAGAATTATATCAATTTCCCTTACAATAATTATCTGTCCTGGTTGTGGCATTTATAGGAAATAATCAACACCAACTAAAGAGGCTCTTGATTGTTAAACAAATTCTCCTTGTCAGCACTTTTAGCAAATGTATAGAGAACTGTATAATGGAGGATTGTAATATTTTACATTTCTTAATTTCACTTTTTTTTTTGTTTTTACTGTGATTAATTTGGTTTTGTTCTGATTTTCTTTTTTACATTTTTGTGGTCTTGAAGACCCAGAAACTGGAGAAGAATATTTATTGAGAAGAGGAGAATGTGTGAATGTTTTGCCAGGTTTCTTTAAAAAGGTATGTACTTATAGCTAGACATGAACAGTACAATTGTATGTTGACCATTGATCTTGTGTGGTTAACTGCACAAAAATTTTTTATCTCAACAAATGTGATACTCCTCATAAACAGGGCTCTTAGGTCTGAACTCGCACCTCACTGCAAGTCTAGGTTTGGCATATACAACATTTTAAATATTTTGTCATTTTTGTTCATTAAAAAATCAAAAGCAATTTGCCTCTACATTTGCTGATGGTTAAAGTAGACATTTTTGCGGTTGTCCAACTTTGTTAATCACTTGTAATGTATGATTACAGGCCAAATTGGACTTCATTCAGTCCTGTTACCATTAGATATAAAGGGACAGTGCTTCAGACTATTTTTTTGTGGCTTTTGTTGTGCACTTTTTGAATAAGCAAATGGTAAGTAATATTTCAGACACCAATAAAAATAAATTCCTTTGTGGTAAAACTTAAAATTGTTAAATGTTTTATTTCTAGTTGTGTCCATTCCCAGCTATTCAAGTAGAAGAGGAAGCATGGCTCAATAGTAAAGAAAGATGTCTTCGTCTTCACTGTTATAACCTTACATGGTCCAAATATGCGTCCTTAGAAGAGTTCAGCACTTTTAAAGCATGTGAAAACAATCCAGACTGGTATGTCACCTTACTTCTTAAACAATAGAATTTCTCTGGTACTCAGAAGCAAATAACCATGCAAGAGGTAGAAGGAAATGGCACTTTCTGTTGGATGCAAAAGTGCAGCCAAAACCACCATTTTATCATTCTCTTGATGACTTGGTTTCCCAAGTTAAATAGTGATACATATTTAAAACTACTTGATGAGTGAAACCCAATTGCATAGATTAAACAAAATTAATGGTGAAAAATTTTGCTTTTGTTTGCCCTCACTCTTGATTTTGCCAGTATTCTTCATCCTGTATGTCTCGGAGAATCATGGAAAAGTCTTGGAAAAGTCTTAAGAAGGATCACTGAAGAATCATTGGAAAACCATTGAAGAATCATTGATCAATCACTGAAAAGTTATTGTTCAAAGAGTTATTGAAGAATTATTGAAAAATCATCAGAAAATCATTGAAGAATCATTGATTAATCACAATGATTGAAAAATCATTGAAGAATCATTGAATAATCATCGAAGAATCATTAATTTAAAAGAATCATTGAAAAATCATCGAAGAATCATTGAATAGTCATTGAAGAATCATTAAAGAATCATCGAATAATCATTGAAAAATCATGGCAGAATCATTGAAAAATCATGGCAGAATCATTGAAGAATCATTAAAGAATCATTGAAAAATCATTGAAGAATCATTGAAAAATCATTAAAGAATCATTGAATTATCATTAAAGAATCATTGAAAAATCATTAAAGAATCATTGAATAATCATTTAAGAATCATTGAAGAATCATTGATCAGAAGGGCATTTTCTGTGGTGTTAAGTAATAAAGATCACCCTCTCCAACCATGTTTTATTGTGTCACTTGGTAGGACATCATTTGAGCAGCGAGGTAGTATCAATGTTTATGGTGTTGGTTCATTACTTGGAGGAATGATGGAAGCTTTTGGACAATCGTTTCTTCAACATGGAGCAAACAAGGTATAAACAGATCAGTTTTAATTAAGAAAAAAAAATCACATTTGCTCTCTTATCACCTATCATTGACTCACATATTTGCTCCAGGTTTCTTTTCTTCTACCCAGCTCTGTTTTTTTTTCTTTTTGCAGGGTTTTAACATAATGGAAGATCTGATAATGACAATGAGTGGAAGGTATACAGAAGCATGACAGAGCAACACTTGACAAGAGCACATAGAGTGCCTGCCCTGCTATCTAAATTTTTTCTACCATTTTTTCTACTGAAGATTTGTTGAATTCTCAAAGTGAACTTTAAAGAAAAGGACCCCATGATTTCAAGGAAGCACAAGGGGGTGGAAAGTTCATGATGAGATGTCAGTGAGTATTCTTTCGTCAATTAGGGCACTGCCGTAAGGAGTGAAGTCTCTGATTGTTTACGAGATACCAACATTCTAACTTATTAATTCCTTAAGAAAATAATTATATTTACAGATTCAAATGTATGATATGAGAAAGAGAAAATTGATTGGTCCAATTATAGGTTGTCAGTTAACTGTTGTTTGACCACTGCATTTTTGCTGATTATTGGTGAGTTTTAAATGGCGGTAATTATCAATCACTACCAGGGTTTGTCTTCAGGGACTATAGCATATACCTCTCCTTTAAGTTGAAACTTTTATTAATGAAGGTAGAAACCAAATTAATTTTTTTTTTTTACATGAAACCAATGTTAAACAGATGGCTTAAATTTGAGTTTTAGTTTGCATACTTTTGAAAACTTGTATTCCTGTAAGTAATTATTTTTGTCTATCTGAGTTGGTCAAACTTAAAATGTTGACCAGTCCCTCTGCTGTATTTGGGATTATGATCAACTTATCTGACTTACTGTTGTACAAATGTAGAAAAATGTGTACTTGGTTAACACTCCATGAACACTTCCAGGAGTCCAGTTCATGCCCTTTTAGCACAGGTTTCAATGTTTTGAAAAATAAAATTTGGTGTAAGATAAAACTTTGGCTCTTTTCTGGCTTCCCACTCTTAATTACTCAAGGTACTCTATGATCCCTGATCTTAAGTTTTATTTTTGATGTGAATCTTCAATGGCAAGTTTGAATTTCAACATTCACTTAATTCAGACGTTTCAAAATGTGTGCAAGACTACTAGAGAATTAGTGTCTCATCTTCCACACTTGATGGGGTAAAAAATATAAAATTATCAATTAATGTACTCTTCCTTTGTGCTTCTGGTCTTTCCAGCTTTTGGAGAGGGGATTTAAAATAAGTGTGTAATGATAAAAGAGTGTTTGTCTAATCTGTTATGAGACACAAAGATTCCTATAATATGGAAGAATGTAAACAACAGGAAATTGAGATTTCAATGAAGTATGATCAATGCTCACTGGACACAAGCATGCTGAGGCTCTTAACTGAAGAAAATTTCAGTTGAACTTGTGAGCAAATAGGCCATAGTTAAATTTCAAAACTGTTTAATATCTAATTGCCAGGCAAAAACATTAGGTGTACACTTAAATCCAAACTTAATTAGGAAAAAATAAATGTATTAAAAAAATTAGAGAATTCCATCTAGAGCCATTTACTGACGTGAACATGTTTTATCTTTAATGATAGTGTTAACCTCTTTGAGGTTGTGCAGCACACCCTCTTGCTTGTCTAACATCAGAAATGAACTTTTGTACAGTTCCTTTCCCAGCTGAGGTGTTGTAATATTCCTTCCAGTACAGAGCTTGCGATTTAACATCAGCTGGAATAGGAGCAGGAATTCTGGCAAGAAATAATCGGGCAGCCAGTCCAGAGTATAGTGGCTTTTGCAAATCTGACCATGAAGTTTTTTGCCAGTCTATGTGCAGTCGCTCCCTAATTCGGTCCCAGTACTTCCTCAGGCCTTGCTGCGTAACTGTTTCGCGATAGCCAATGAAGTCCACCTATGACAAAGGTATCTTGAATGGGATTATCAAAAAGGTGGTGCCTAAATGTTAGCCATAACCTGCGAGGTTTTCCTCAACGCTGAGTCATGGGTGGCGAGGCACGGGAGATTCGAGCTGGCAAGCATGTGAGTCTGCGTGGGGTTCCGTGTGCTCATATTGCATGCCRACTTAAACCCTCTGGCTTCGCCTCTCATTACCCCGCACCAGCGAGAGTCTACAACATGGAGGCATAACAAGAATGACCAACCAATCAAATGAAGTACATATTTGTCAGTTCTGTTAACTCGACCTGATATCATGCCCTTGCTACTCACTCACATGTTTACAGCAATACACTATGTATTTCAGTACTCTCATTTCTAAATTGGTAACTGTTTAGGGGTGCTTCATTTCCTGAGTTTCTAATTTTATTTCTATTTGGAGGGGTAAGGGGGTACAAAAGACCGCACCTTCAGTTAGTTTGTTACTGTGATAGTCCTTCCTGAATATTGGGAGCGTATGAGAAAAGTCAATTTGTTTAAAACTATTGGAGAGAGCAGTAAGCATCATAATTGAGTTGATATGCCACATGCCCACTCCCCTTGTATTCCTCTCTGGAAATTAAATGAATCCCACTATACCCCCTCCCTCCCGCCTCCATTATTACCCAATTGAGTCTGTTATCAGGGTGGGTACATATGCAACTTCCCCGACCAAGTTCTTTACCTGCCAAATTCCTCCGTAATAAAACCGCCTGTAAGTTCCAGACGCAGTTCCATATTTGGACTCGACCCAGGCCACACGACAAAGGAATTTGTGATCGGTTGGAAATATATCCAAGTCACTGATCATCTGTACAACATCGGCAACCACATCACTTCCTTTTCCTTTTGGTGTGTAAGGAGTATCAGCTTCACAGCTTGAAAAACAGTGGGCAAGAACACCGAAGACTATGACCGTCAAAAGCATGTTCCTGAGAAAGAGTGTGTAAGGAATGAAAAAGAGATGAGATCAGCGGCAAGGGTGTAGTGGAGATGAGCAGCAGTGTCCAGTGAAGTGGTTCATGTGATCCACTCTTGGATAGAAAAAATGAAATTAATAGTTGAGAGTCTAATGATAAAATTGACATCGAACCCCGGAGATCAAACTTCGTCATCAATAACTTCGTTATCTTTCGCTTTCAAAGTTGTTTCTGTTTTGCACGACATCATAGTTTCGCAAGCAGAGGCACATAGAAGTTAAAATTTTAATGATTAAGAAGTTTCGAAAGTCAGTCACTCTCAAGAGAACATAAATTGTTTATAATCGACATACATGGAAGTCTTCATATGTTTTGTAAAGGCGTTCATTTAAATTAGCTTTTAAATGGATTCTCCCACCATGGCTATAAATCGTGATAATGTAGACATCGTTTCCAAATTACTTTTTGCAGAATGTGATCATTAGTCAGCAAATGAAGAAGCTTTAATAGATTATTGCTTTTCGTAAATCACAATGCTGAAGGTAATTTTTCTGAGCGGAATTCGCAGACAAGGATGTCGTCTGTATCGCTCGCTCTGTACATTGTTTCCAGGCCAAATCTAATTTTAATTACCGTGCTCGAATGTTTATGCTACATAATTTTGAAGACCGATGGAAAAAATAATTAACTCGTCGTTCAAGCATGAGGGGGTCTGTACTTGGATTTATGTCCAAGTCCAAGTTAAAGAACGAACAGAAATCTCACAAAAATAATTCTATTTCAATTCGCTTGTTATCGAGTGACACTATATTTGCTCACTTAAACACAAAATTCATCTTACCACTAGCTTGTCTGGTAGCTTCCTCTATTCTCCTTCGCAAGCCGGAACAAATTAAAATAATTTTCTTTCCTTTCCCGTTTTGTAACTGACCTTAATGAACAATGATTGGTCGATCGATGATGTGGCGTGATATGACCGATGAACCTTGATGACGCTCGCATCACAATTTTCAGTTTCGAGATGATACGCTACTGAAACGGAAGACGCAGAGGATGTGGGGATTCACGTGATACATGATATTCATGCTCTCTTCTTTGGTGGGTGATTACCGTCATAATTAAATCAGATCGAGGTAACATAGTTAGGATGTTTTGAATCAGCTGGTCGAGTTCTTCGTTGTCTGTGTTGGAGTATGTTAATCTCACACGCAACCCAAACTCGACCAAGCGTCTTCCAACAGTCCGAACACTGATACCTAGCAAAGTTGAGATATCGACAACAGTAAAGCTACTACCGATCAGAAAATCAAGCTGATCTCTGGGAATTGAATTTCTTGGACGTCCACGTTGCCCACAAAAGGCAGTAGCAAGTGATGAAACATCAAAAATATTTTGACTTCCAATAAGGCAATCCCGTGCACCCCCAATTAGGTTAACACAATTTGTTCATCGATTTCATACAAATGAACAAGACGAGCTATTAAACCATGCAGCCAATCCAGCCTAAAGTGTAAGACGTCCACTATATTTGGGTCAAGCCCTCCTCCTTCAATTTCCCGAATAATCAAAGCTCTCGCAAGTATCTGAACGATTGCAGCTCTTCTTGAGAAAGCGCCATCACTCTATCCGCCATCTTGGATCAACAATAACATTACCTCGATCTGGTTTCTCGTAGTCACCAGGCCAACTGGAGAAAAAGTTGTAGCAGAAAATTGAATGTGTCCGAAAATTAGAAATACTGGCAGAAAATTCACCAGAAACGAATCGGAGTTGTGAAGTATTCTAAACTAGTCGAAAATTCGAAAAGCTCCCCGAAACCTGACACAGCCCAAAAATTGAAAGTTTAGGTTATCCGAAAATTTGATCAGACGAAAATTTCTGAATTCTGTCAGAAAATTGATGAAACCAACATAAAATTCAAACAGACAAAAAATTCTTTACTATGCAAAATGTAATACTATGTCAGAAAATCAAAAATTGAATTATGACGGTAATCACCCACCATAGCTTGGTATTACGGTTTTCAGTTCTTATCTCTCATGCCACATAATTTAGACTTCATAAGTTGTTCAACATGGATTCAATTCAGAACGAATAGAGGTTTATCAGCAGCGACGGCAGCGTTGAGTATTTGCATTCGACGCACCACGACTCTCCTCTCCGATGCTTGCGATAATAAAATTTCAAATGAATATGTTGTTAGTAAGCGTTACCTATTCGGCATAGCGTTACCTATTCGGCATAGCGTTACCTATTCGGCATAGCGTTACCTATTCGGCATAGCGTTACCTATTCGGCATAGCGCTACCTATTCGGCATAGCGTTACCTATTCGGCATAGGATAAATTTCGAACATCACCGATGCCAATTGACTTGACAACCATCCACGATTTTCACAAATATCTGTATGAATAGCTTGCACTCGATTTTCTCACGTAAACTGTCTGGTGCTTCAGCCGTTTGATTGCATTACAATGAAATAGTCGTCAAAGCGGAAGCAAGACTTGCCACGGCTTGGCTCTTTTAGCATCTTTGTTTGATGAAGATGCTCTTTGCAAGATGCTTTAATGTCATAATACACATGATGCAATTTCTTCAGTTAAGTAAGAGAACTGGTTATATTCAAAAAATAAGTCGCCGTCTATTAAAAAAGCAATTGGCTACAAAAGTGGGAGTGGTGGGGAGAATAATTTCTCCACTTTTATGCGACATATTCATCACTGACCTTGGAGAGAGACACAAAATAATTTTATAGACGCAAAGCCTATCCTAACATAATAATTTGGATATATCAACAAAGTTGAAGTGGTAAATTGGCCACCGTAACGATTCCAAAAGCTGACGTTTCGAGCGTTAGCCCTTCTTCGGAGCGAATAGAGGAATTGTGGGTTGTGTGTGCTTCTAAAGGCAGAAAATGGAGCTACGTTATTGGTGAGAACATATGGCAACGAGAAAAACACTTTTTTGAGCAACTTTGTTGATATATTCAAATCATTTCGTTACCCCCACCTACGCAGCCCCAAACAGTTTCTTTCGAAACTATCAGCCTCTATCCTAACATACATTACTAGAAGTGAACTTCATCGGACTTACCCAAGCTTTACCCTTAATTCGATCCTTTGTTCAACAACAGCGCAAACGAACGACTTGGTGTTTTTGAGAAGTTCTGGATGCTATTGATATTAATTATTCCGGCATGTATTACCATATTTGGATTAGTTAACATTTGTGGTCAAAGCGGATTGGATAGTTTCGTCAGATGCTGGCGTGACGGCAATGCTTGGCGCAGTTTTATATCCAATGAAATTACCACGATATTGTTCGCACCTTCTCAAATGATCCAAATAATCATATTTTCCTGGAAAGAAGATAATTTTCCACAAATCAATAAAACTTCTTGACAGTAAGACAATTCTGGGAAATGACGGATTTGTAATTCGACTACCATTTTAGTTTGCCCGACTTTGGACAGCTTAACACACAGTTCCTGAGGGCAGAAGATTTTTGGAATTTCTGAAAACTGACATAATTTTTTGTTTCTCAGTAGCCCTAGATATAAAAAGAAGACCTAAAAGGGCTAGGCTGATCAAAGATCACTTTAGGATCTTATTCAAACTTTTTATAGAAACACTAATGAAATTCTGGCTTAAAAAGAAAAACCTCGCATGCGACTCATGATAAAGTAAATGTGAATCTTTGGATTCCGATTATATGACCCGAGCGTGTGGATTTTAACCAGTGCAGAGTTGTTAGCATCACCCATTGAAACTGCCAGGTTGCTAGAGAGTTCTTCACAAATAAAAGTAACTCGATGGTAATGAAGGAATATGCGAACTCTTTTGTAGCCAAGATGTGTAAAAGATGTTCTAATCCTTACGGAGTTGTGCGATAACTTCATTTAAGTAAACGAATCTTGCATTGAGTTGAAATGACAGCTTCGTAACACTAAAAACTTCTTATATTCTTAATCGGTCCCAAAGGCATTCGGAGCAATCAGATTGCACCAACTCCAAATAAGTGATAAAAAATGTCGATAAGGAGAGCAGGGAAGTAACCAACAGGTAAGTACTCAGCAGAACAAAAGGTACCACCAGAAATCAGTGTGAAAGGTTCTCTCTGTCCATAGATACTAAGTAACCTTTCATTGAATATTTAACGGACACAAGAATAGGCCACTCTCGCTAAACAAACATACTATGACAAGGCATAACTATTCATGTATGAAATATGCTTGCTTGCTTGTTATCTCAACCCGCGTGGTGAAATTAAACATTCCCCTAACTGAGTTCCTTGCTTTCCTCAAACGCTAGTCATGAAGACTTTCCTGTATTTGCACCTATGAAGAACTATATTCCTTACTTGAAACTTTATCATGACCGGAAGCCGAAGGAAGCAAACTGATAATATTTTTCTCCTTTCGGTTTAAAATATACTTCCATAGTGCGTTAAAGGCTCTCAGTTATGTTTTGATAAAACTGATGTTTAACTAATGTGAGGAGAATTTGGACATTCATACATGAAAGGTTTCTGACTTGTCGACCAATCGTTATTTTATGGAGGTTATTCACCCGTTATGCTTAGACAGTTGAAAATCTTGTCACGGTCTTATCCGTGGTTGCAATTCATTGGTTGCTCTGACAGAAACAGGTCCATATCCTTTATTCTTAGTTCAAGGCTAACTATAAGTAATATCGTAAGAGATCACATTTTAAGGTATCAGATATCTGACACTACAAGCTGGTAAGTTCACTTGTGTATCTTAAAATACCTCGATTGGTTGTGATGATTTCCACAAGATGATCTTTTTCCAGCGACGTTTTTCCTTCTCGTGATCTAAAATTTGGGACAAAAGTTACGTACCATATAAATATTTCCTTACGATAACAATCTCTTTCGGTCAGAAGTACAAATGAATAGTATCAAAAAACTGAAAAAGTGTTGGAGATGGAATGGTTTTTTAACCGTCCAAGGGGATAGGAGTAGCATTTAAACGCTCAAGTCACGCTATCGAAACTACATTAATCAGTCTGCTAAAATGTACGAGTCACACTCCGGTTAGTTGATCATTTACACTTCTTTAAAAGTTACTAACTATTTCCTTTTTCTTTAATCCATATGGAAATTGAATGAACACGTTCTGATTCTCAGGGAACCATGAGAGTTGTAATATCCGCGTTAATACTGTGCTGTGCTGTCATGAACGGTAAGACCAAAGGTGCAAATTTTAACTTTGTTACTTAAAAAAAAATTCCTTAAAGTTTCACTGACAAAGAACACAGTCGCTTTTTCCTTTTCTTTAGTTTCTCCTTGCATCTGGGATTCGAGTCCGAGTAGATCTTATGCATAAGTCATTTTATGTTCAGAAAGCCTCTCTCCTACAGAAATATTTGAGAATCAAGTTGAGTTCATGAGAGGAGCCTCTCCTGTTTACGGTTTACACCAGTAAGCTGTTTGATATCGTCAGTAAGCACCTCCTAGGTGTACACTGCTACTCAGATGATACACAGCTGTATTTGGCATTTAGTCCTGCTGTGCAAGGGGAGGACGAGGCCGCGCTAAATGCTATGCGCGACTGCACACATGACTTGAGGAACTGGATGATTGAAGACCGACTGATGTTAAATGATGATAACACTGAACTACTGCTTATAGGTACTAGGCAACAGTTAGAGAAAGTCAACTTGAATGATATTAATGTAGGTGACACAGTCGTAGAGTCGAAATCTTGGGTCATGGTTTGATCGTAATCTGGATATGTCATTCCATATAAGTAAAAAATGCGCCGCGGCATTCTATCATTTGCATAATATAAGTCGAATCCGTAGGTTATTAAGTACAGATACCACTAAAGCCCTCATTCATGCGGTTGTTATCTCGCGCGTAGATTATTGCAATAGTCTTTTATATGGCTTGCCAGCTTCTAACCTGAATAAGATTCAGCGCGTTTTAAATGCCGCAGCAAGACTAGTTTGTCGCGCGCCATGCTACTGTCGCATAACGCCGTTGCTACACGAGCTGCACTGGGTACAGGTTAGGCAACGCATTAGTTTTAAGATTCTGCTATTTGTTTTTAAGGCCATCCATGGAATTGCGCCAACGTATTTAAGAGAACTTTTGTCAATTAAAAGACCAGGAATTTATAAATTAAGATCCCCCTTGAATGGTTTGTTGCTTGCAACGCTAACTTATAGAAGTAGGGTTACATTAGGAGACAGATCCGATTTCAGGCCGCAGCTCCAGCACTTTGGAATGCATTACCGCGTGAGATTCGTTCTAGTACAGATCTGAGCTTTTTAAGTGCCACCTGAAAACGCGCCTCTTTAAGGAAGCTTTTTATTAATTTTTATTAAAATTTTATCATGATAGTTGCTAGTATCTTAACATATGTTGTATGCTTTAATTTTATCATAGTATATTTGAGATGTAATGTGTGCTTGATCATTTCATGGAAAGCGCGCTATATAGGAACTAAATTATTATTTTTATTATTATTATTATAGGAGGATCAGCAATTCTTACAAGTTCTTTCATTGTATCAAAGAAAACAATAGCGCCTCCCTTCATTCACAAGAGTTACTGAATTATGCATTGGCTTGTTGTTGAAAAAGCAATAAAAAAAAAACAGATCTGTGAATGATATACAAATTGGTCTTCCTGATGCAGGATTTAAGGTGTATTTTGTTTAGTGTCTGATATCTTCATGCTACAAGTCTCAGGACTAACGCACGGATGAATCAAATATCGGCGAGTCTTAATTCAGCAGTACTCTAAAACCCTTTTACTTGATCTTACTGTATCCTTAATATCTGCTATACCTTTTCAAGCTTTTGGGCGCCCTTTTGAACTACTGGACGAGAAACATGTATCCAAGCGAAATGATCCAGAGAAAGATTCTATATTGGTCATGAGAGGTAAATTAAAAATTAAATTTATCAGCTTTGCCAACAATACATACAATATAGAACACGGATAAATTACAATAACGATAACGGGCAGGCAACCACAACAGCGATAGCCAATTACTGTGGTTACTTGCGCTGCTCGTTCTTCTCTTAGCCGCAGCTTTTTTATTATACAAAATGAGTTTTTTTTAATTTTGTTTTCAAATTATTTGATGCTCTACCTATCTTGTTATTTTTTACTTGTCGTGTTTTTACGTGTTTTATTTCTGAGTTAATTTCTGCTTCAGACGGTACTTTGGTATTGAGATTAAGTACTAATGAAGCATTGCTAGTAACTCAATTTATCCCTTAATCATGTTTCAAGCAGATGAAGGCATTCACTCCAGTGAAAGGGGTGACGAAAGTTATGTTAAAGAACCAGAGGAGGACGAGGAAGAAGATGAGGAAGAGTCCCCTAGAGGAGACAAAGCGTCCTCTGGGGAGGAAGATCAATCAGAAAACCATGAAGCAGCAGATAATGCTACGGACACCGATAATGATCACGACAAGAACGAACACGATGATGAAGACGATAACGATGATGACGATAACGATGATGATGATGATGACGATGAAGATGAGGATTGAGTTGGGTCAATTTGCCACGCTTCATCTGGTGCACAAAATCATGTTATTTGGCTCGACTCATAATTTTTGTAATCGCATACACAAAAAAAGTGTAATTAAAGGCTAATTAAACTCGAGCGTTGTATGTTACAGTATATTGTTCACATAAATAATCTAAAATTATCGCAAAATTATCAGGAATAGCGAACTTAAAACAAAAAAGAGATAAGTTGCCCACACCAGCAAAGTTCATCCTGATTTACCAATAACCGACAAACCTTTTTTTTGGAAATTTTAATCATTAGTAGCCGCTTTCCGATTTTGGCCACAAGCAGTCGTTTTGGGATTTTAGCCTTTAGTGGCCGTTTTGCGATTTTGGCCACTAGTGGCCGATTTGTGATTTTGGCCACTAGTGGCCGTTTTGCAACTTTGGCCACTAGAAGTCGTTTTGGGATTTTAGCCTTTAGTGGCTGTTTTGTGATTTTGGCCACCAGTGGCCGATTTGCAATTTTGGCCTCTAGTGGCCGTTTTAGCTACTTTGGCCACCAGTGGCTGATTTACCATTTTGGCCACTAATGGCTGTTTTTCGATTTTAGCGGCTAGTGGTCGTTTTGCAGTTTTGGCCTCTAGTGGCCGATATGTAATTTTGATGACAAGTACCCGTTTTGCAATTTTGGCCACTAGTGGCCGATTTGCAATTTTGGCCACTAGTCGCCGTTTTGCAATTTTGCCCACTAGTTGCCGATTTCCGATGTTGGCCACTAGTGGCCGTTTTGCTATTCTGGCCACTAGTGGATGTTTTGCGATTTTGGAAACTAGTGGCCGATTTGCAACTAGCCGCTAGTGGCTGCTTTGCAATTTTGGCCACTAGTGGCTGTTTTGCCATTTTGGTCACTAGTGGCCGCTTTGCGACTTAGGCCACTGGTGGCCGATTGGCAATTTTCGATTGCCCCTAGTGGCCGTTTTGCATTTTAAGCCACTAGTGGCCCTTTTGCGATTTTGGCCATTAGTGGCCGATTTGCGATTTTGGCCACCAGTGGCTGTTTTGCGATTTTGGCCACTAGTGAGCCGGGCGATTTGCGATTTTGGTCACGAGTGGCTGCTTTGCAATTTTGGCCATTAGTGGCCGTCTTGCAATTTTGGGCACTTGTGGCTGTATTGCGATTTTGGCCCTTATAGTGACCGTTTTGCAATTTTGACCACTAGTGCCAAACATGTGATTTTGGTCACTAGTGGCCGACTTGCTTTTTTGGCCATTAGCGGCCGTTTTGCAACTTTGGTTACTAGTGGCCGACATGTGATTTTGGCCACTAGTGGCCGTTTTCTGATGTTGGCCACTAATGGCGGATTTGTCATTTTGGCTACTAGTGGCCGTTTTCTGACTTTTGCCACTGGTAGCAGTTTGGTGGTTTTGGCCACTAGTTACTTTAACTAATTCTGAGTTAAATGATCACACAACTGCGCGCTCCTTACTTTAGGAAAACGCGAATTCCTCCATGACCCATACCAATAAATCGATAAAGGTTATCCTGAAGGAGCCACCAGTAGCCGTTTTGGAATTTACGTTACGTCGATTTGCGAATTTGTCCACTAGTGGCCGTTTTGCGATTTTGGCCACTGGTGGCTGATTGGCGATTTTGGCCACTAGTTGCGTTTGCCAATTCTGAGTTAAATTCATTACACTGCAGTGCTTCTTACCTTAGCAAGAACGCGAATTCCTTCATGACCCATTCCAATAAATTGACAAAGGTTCTCCTGAAGGTTCTTGCACCTCGATGAGGACTTGTAAATCACTTCTTCGTGAATGGAACTGGAACACGTCCGTCAGCTGTGGACTTTTCAAAATCCACCATACAAGGTATTGAATCCCCTTGGAAAGCCATCTTCTCTACAAAATGATTAACAATAAAGTGTTCACTTGAGACCCTTATGCGGAGTTACGTCACCATAAAACCACAGTACTATCCTTGCTTTTAGATAGGAAAATCTTCCCTCGACATGAAACAAACCATAGATTATCATTTAACAAGATGAAACAAAAAACACCAATAGGCAGGAGGCTAAGAGATAAACTTATCTCATCTCATCTTTATTTATTTGAGGAGGTTGAGTTTTATGGCAGCTATTTTGCTGATGTGGACCTGCTATCTTCCCACCAATCCCATCCCAGGGGAGGACATCCACCACACAGTAATCTCGTGCGCGGGAAATTAATGTCTCCTACCCCTAACCCTGCAAGAGACGGGACCTACGGTTTATTCGTCCTTATCCGAGAAGACTAGAATATCTATCCATTTCTTGATATTATGGAAAGGTAGCACATTCTCCTCAGTTATTTTAAGACCCTTAGTGTTGGTCCGGCCGGGACATGAACACTCGACCTCCCGCACAACAGTCCGGCGCTCTACCAATTGAGCTAACCAGGAGGCGGTGTAAAGAGAGAAGGAAGATGATCATTTGGGAGGGAGATGATTAACTTGGAATGCAGACCACGAGAAAGCCTGACTCATTCCCTAAGGGCATATGGTATCGAATAGAATTGGAAGTCTTTTCTCCGGCTTCCCCTTATCCGAAAAAATTATAGAATCTTTGGATTGAAGACAAGAAGCTTGGAAGACAGTCGTCTAAATTATTCCTTTTCAGCTAACTCAAGGATCATCCTTATTTATACTAAAGTGCTTTTTTTTAATCATAAAACACATCAAACACCATTTACCCTCGACCAATTTGACAGCTCCCGTCACCTTAATTCTCTTCAGAAAACCGAATGCAACCGTCGATGGCTCCATAGCCAACCGAACCACTTGATTGGCCGGTTGGCTCATACAAATTGTGCTTAATCCGCACGATACCGATAAAAATCTCGTATTTGATACCTTCGTTTATAAGCTGAACCTGTCGAAAAAAAATGTTTTTCCTTAATTACAAAGCTTAAGGAAGAAGACGGTAATGCCAGAGGTACATATACCAATTAAGAACCGCAACGTAAGAATAATCTCTAGGCGAAGAAAGGGAGTTCTTCATGGAAGGTAACTGTTTGCTACACAGATGCCTTCAAGTTAGTAATTCTGGTTGAATTAAAAGCCTAATTTGCCTATTTTCCAAACATATATCAAATTAATAACAAGTATGCAACTAGTAAATTCACTTCAATTTTTGTAAAGCCCCTTGAGAAAGGTTGCTTGTGCCTGGCCCCGTGAAAATCTTTCTGCTCGAAATTGAAGATTTTGCAAATTTCTCGACCAACATAGGTAAGCAAATAACCGTCAATGCGTATTGTAGCACTTAAGCAAGCCTACAAAAAGTCAGTGATTAAGAGGTTTCCTTTGTAAATTGTGTCGAAAGTTTGAAAGATTGAAAGTTTAAGAGTTTCACCACCACTTCTTCCGCTAATTTCACCCCATTCATTGTCTGTTAACATTTTTAGAAAAAAGTTCTTTCTAAAAATGTTAACAGACGAGCCATTTACGTAGCTATAGCAGTTTTGATGTTGCGATAAGCTATTACTTTTCGAAGACAATAAATGTTTCCACTGGTCATTACAGTTGGTCCATAGGACTGATCTTGTAGTTATACCACTTCTGGTAGAATAGAAAGATGAAACATGCGAAACTACATGATTTTACTTAACTAAGCTAAACCAGCTATGCCTACGCAGAAAAAAAATTGAAATTCACATCATTAGAAGTTCAGGGAAAAGGACTGATCGATTCTCCCACAGTACAGGTCTTAATATGCCTGCCTCAGTTCTTTCTTCTACCGAGAAGAGCATCATGCCTGAAAAAATACCATCATGATTTTCATCTCATCCGAATATTAGCATGTTCATCATCACTATTATAATCCTCGCAAACAGATGTAGCTATTTATACTGAGAATGTCAGTAGTATCTTTTTAGAGTCAAATCACTATGATATAACAACAGCATTTATTAACTAATCAATTAAGAGGTGCCTTTGGTAACTTAAGTGACTCTTCACTTAGTTTCGTTTCCTTTGATGAAATTTCTCTATATTCGCGTTCCTTGCACGTGAAACAGATTAGAAGTAAAAGAAAAATGTTCAATTTCGGTTTTATTTGTTTTGTTTTAATATCCCTTTAAATGACATATGTTCTTTACTGTCTTTATTTTGAGCGATACATTTCTTGGCTTTACTTCCATTGGGAAGGGCACTTTCAAACTTCCACATAATATATATTTCGCTGAAGACCTTACTTTACCCTTCAAACTTCTATGTGCTGGGCAATCTATGAAAACAAGAACTCTTATTTACCATCTCAAGCTTGCGGATGTCTGCTGTTCAATGTTTAAATTCCTCGTTTCATGATGCGGTTTCTTGTTTACAAACATAATTGCTTCACTGACTCCCGTGATGATGGTGTTCGAGGAATTTGTTTTTCCCCTACTAAATAAATCTTTTGCCATCATAATGCAATGAGAAATCATGACATCTGCCCTCATTAAGCTTTATTATCTGGAAAGATATTTCGACCAAACCTTATGGGAACGTATTGCAGAGAGTAGGATTCAAAATGAGAAATTCCTTTCAAGTCTTTTGCTGCACTAAATCTTATAGTGCTTTAAGGCAATCTCTAAGGAATATTTTAAAGTTCTTGTCGATGCTGTCAGATTGTCGTTCTTTGCTATCTAGCGTGAACGCAAAGCCTTTTGACTTCTTTATTTTAATAATTTGCAAACACAGTTTGACGCTGTATTTTTATCCTGGTCCTTCCGTGTCTTCCAGGTTCAACCGATACCACTACAATGATGCAAATGCTCAAGCCCGTTAAATCGTGGGAGACGATCGTCCGTGTGAGGATAGTTCTGAAAAGGACAAATATCGCTAAGAGAGGTAGGCGATTAAACGACAAAGGTAGAGGCAATGGAGATGCAACCTCCCGGTTAGCTCAATTGGTAGAGGGCTGGACTGTTGTGCGGGAGGTCGTGAGTTCAAATCCGGCCGGACCAACACTCAGGGTCTTTAATTAATTGAGAAGAAAGTGCTGCCTTTGTAATAATATCTGCAAATGGTTAGACTTTCTAGTCTTCTCGGATAGGGACGAATAAATGGAGGTCCCGTCTCCTGCAGGGTTGGGGTAGGAGATGTTAATTTCCCACACACGAGATTACTGTGTGATGGATGTCCTCCCCGAGGTGGGATGGGTTGGTAAAAAAGAGGTTAGGTGTTCATTGGAACGAAGGTTCTGTTCCTTTCTCCTGCCATTCCTGTGGCGAATGAATTAAACTTAAACTTAAACTAAAACTTAAACTAACACAGGCTTCATGACTGACAACTCTCCTTTCTGAGTACTAGAAATTTTTGATTGATGCGGATCATTCGGATGAATGTTCAAAAATCAATTCAGACCGTTATTCATCGGTTAAAGCCGCGGGAAAAGCAGGCTAATAGAGTATTATTATATGAAGTTTGGTGCTTTTACCTTTTACAAACATACTGTATTTGAAAAACAGGAACGGGAAGTTAATATTTTCTAAGTCTAGCCACTTCAGTAACGGATTTGACGGAGAAGTTATTTGACTGTAGTTAATCACGGTCGATGAATTATTTCCTGTTCCGAGATTCATGATAGACAAAACCTCGATTATGCAAATAGCAGCCGGCCAGTCGTGTAAAAAGGAATTTTCAAACGGAAAACAGGATGAGTTGTTTTAAACGTGGTGTCGATGCAGAGAGAGTTGAGAGAAAAAGTTCTAAGGAAAGCCAAGAACTTTTACAATAGGTAGCCGCTATCGAATCCTGAGCGCACAGGTTTCAAACTTCTGAATTTGAAGTCGAAGGATTGCTTAAGGTAAGGATTTACAGATCTTGACCTTTCAAGCGTTATTTCACAGCTAGAAAAGACCCTGTTCATACCTAAGTTGAGCAATCTGCGTAGTATTTGATAATTTTTTATTTAAATATGTCGGTATTTAACGATTTAAGGCGCCAAAACGGCTGAGATCACCACCAATCCATAACCTTTTAAAATCCGTTAACATCGAAACGTTATCTCGAGAAAAACTTTTTGTGTTCCTTCCTTTGGTATTGACAAGTTATGACGTATGAATATAGTTTGATACAACAATTCAAGCAAGCATCGATGGCACGTGCAATGATGCGAGGCCAGCTGAAGTACTATTTCAGAGAGAGAATAATTTAGGGCGAAGTGGAAGATATTGGAAAACAATTCGAAATAGCAGCCCAGTAAGGCACATTTTAGAACTTGTTCGGATCGATTGTGGGAGATGAAGACTAACTAACACCTTCTACAGCAAGCTCCACGTTGCCTGACGAAGAAACTTTGCAGACAACGACCACACAAAGGACTCAAACGGCAATGAAAACAATAGGAAATACACACACAACCATTGAAAATAACTATGGGACCAAATGATGCCTTGTTACAAGTATCTATGATGATAAGTGAGTGAACTAAATGTTTTCGGCAAATAATAAACAAGCCGAGCTGAACAAGTGATCTCACATGCGCCGGCATGAAGGCGGCTGATCTGAGACGGATAATTTCGAGACATCGTTTTTTGTTCAGAACATTGAGCGTATTTTACATAATAAATAGAAAAACCTAGACAATTTCTTGTTGGGAATATGTATTATACGTATGATGTACGATCCTCGAAGTAGATAGCGCTATTTAAGCAATAGCGAAAATCAGACCTGAAAAAAATCAGGCCTGTACGGGATTCGAACCACTGACCTCTGCGATACTAGTGCAGCGCTCTACCAATTGAGCTAANCTTGCTTTGCCATCACGGTTTTTCTTGTTATCATACAACGCGTGACGCTTTCAAGAAATAATCCTTCGCTTTTGCTCGAGACGTGAACTTGGGACACCTGTGCTTACAACAATCATCCAAAAGAACAATAGAAGCTGACGAGAATTTTTAAGCTCCAGGAAAATAAAACTTAAAACTTGCACGTCCCGTTGTTCAAATTCATAAACAGTCTTCTGGAATGTGCCTATTAGATATGTTCGAAACCTAGAGATAATTTTCCTTCCTTGTCAAAACATACTGAGAAACAATCCTGCATTCCACGTGACCTTGATAGCTAATCGTTTAATAACCCTTGAAGGAAACAAATCCTTCAATACAAGTTGGTTAAAAAAAAACGGTTTTGCATTACACACTTCATTTAATTCAATTGTAAATTTCATCGAAAAAAGAAACACTTTTTTCAGCAAGCGTAGTCTCGCTGAGGTTTGTGGTAACCCTAATCCTTGCAATTTTCATGCTTCAGGGTGCAGAGGAAACTTGACGCATCATTGATGTACACTCAACGTTTGACATCCTTGTAAACTTTAAGCAAAAGACGACCTGTTCAAGCCTTTCCATACAATTCGGCACTAACACTTTTGAGATAAAACAACTAGATCACGATGGCGGTCGAGGAATGTAGCAGTAGAGAAGATGTCTTTACTCGTATGAGTACCTTTGTCAGTAGAAATGTCACAAGGGCTTCACGAAGGTAAGACGAGCATGGTAACCAAGCAGGCGGTGTGCGCACTCCGATTGCATTGCATTGTGGTAGCGTTATTTTTAATATGGCTGTAAAAGCGGTAGAAATGGTAGAGTTTGACTGAATATTCTGTAAACGTTAGGCCGTTTCTTTTTCCTTTCACTATAGGTAAATATATAATTTGATATATTCTGAAAGTGTAGAAGTATTTTTCGGGCGTATTTGTCACGTATTATATCGTTCGCAAGGACAAACGCAAGCACCGTATTTTAGCATGTAATTTGAGACTGGTTTTCGAGCAGGTCAAATTCGTTGCACGTCGTAGTTTGAAGCCTTTTAAAGATTTTTATGGCCACTTTGATCCTTCTTCAACAGCTCTGACCAAACGCGCTCAAACGCGCTCCAATGGTACAAATGTTTTAAGCATTTTAAGTGACAGTGTTTGAGACCCTTTTGTGGAGCGAAAAGGCCCATTGTTGTGTTTAGTGTGCTGCGTTACATAGCGTTACTACTGCAAGGACATTGATCAGTCGTGTAAATCTACTCTCCTAAGTGAAGGAAAATTAAACAATCGCAAGTTTTGTGTGGTAAATCTTCTATCTTGATCATTGAATGAAGGACAGTTTAATTAGAGCAATGAAAAGAGTCACTTGATCCATGAAAACCTCTACCTTGCGTGAGGCGACACACCGGAAAGCCGGAAAGCAAAAGGCAGTCGACCGTTGAAAGGTGTTGATAGGCCTGTGCGTCTCCTACCATTCGCTAGCGCGGCTTTTAAATCTTCTACACTCAAACTTTTGCTCTTATTAGGATATCTTTAGATGACTTTCCTTTGTGATCTGATAANGAGCCGTCATTTTCATGGACGAGAGGAAAATCCGTCAGAACAAGGTTAGCGTTTTCCTTCTTTTGATTTGAGCTTTTTACCTGATATTTCACGTAATGATCTCATTTTCCTTTGTAGCTGGTTAAAGTTTAACTGTAAGTTATGAAGAGAATGGTTATAAATCAGTATGACACTTAACTGACAATCTGCCTTTGACTCAAAAATGTTTGAATTTGTAAAGAGAATGATATAGCTCATAGATCATATCTGAATTTTGATCTATCGACTCAAAACTTAACTTTTAAAATGAGGTCAAGTACAAAACCTTAATATGGAAGGTGAGTTTTAAGTGAGTAACAAAATAAAATATTTTAATTCAAAGGCTTTGTACTTACATTTGTTTTGAAAATCGGATTTTGGGTCTTTCTGAAATAGTCCATTATAAATTTAAAGAACCGAAAGAATACGTGGAGAACTGATTCCTCCCTGCAACTACCCTGCTTTAAAAAGGAGTAGACATGTCAAACAAACACAAATGAACAAACAAAAAGTAAACAAAAAAGTTAGATGCTGCACAAAACAACCATATATTCGTATCCTTCGCAAAAAGTGTCTGTTAATTGCTTTTCAATCAGAAACGATCCCAACCTTTACTCAAAACCAATTTTTGCATTCTAAATTCTAGCCTACAACAAAGAGTTTGTCTTTGCAAAACTGAGATACCTCCCAAGACCTACATTAAAAAAATCGGAGCATGAGAGCATTAAAACTGAAGACTAAAAATGAACCTAAAATTTAACTTCCAAGAATCCAGCTTCCAACCCATGCCCTGGTGGCTCGCATAGAGAGAAAGTTTAATGTCAAAAAAGCCTTTTATCGTTTATTGTAGGAGATGAGGACATTGTAATAAATCCACCTAATTATAACACGGGAATAGAATTTCCAGATGGTCGGGAAGCCGAGAAAAGTGAAGGTACTTAAATGTTCTTAAAGAGCAGTCTCTTAGATGAATGTATTCCAAGGTGGCGATTGGGTGACCAGGTTGCGGCTTTCATATCATGTTAAACTGTTAGACCGTTTTGGTATCGTACGTTTATTGCTCATTGCAGACCAGGTATAATCCTCGATAAGTCTCATGGATTCTTTCTGGTTTGGAAAGGAAGATAATCACTCGGGTTCATCAATGTTCCCTTTCCAATTGTGAGGCCAAAAATGAGCAATAACAGAGAAATAGGTGAATTCATAATTAATGAGTGTACAGTGACACTAGTTACGATAAATCATAAATCAGTCTCACCCAATAGTTGTGTTAGGATCTAGTTTGAATGTCAGTTTGAATATCTCTAGAGATGCTCCTTTAATAGGGCGTCCATCTCAGGAGCTGATTGTGAAGCACTGATTATATGATTACAAGGTGTTCAGTCTAGTGGCCAGTACACCTTCTGTCGTGGTTATCAAGGTCCACTCTACTAAGGCAGTCTCTTGCTCAGATTTTAGAGAGGAGAGAGGATGGCGTCTTGGCAGATGTTTATTTAGTCTTTGTCCTAG